AATAGTCTTAACGAAAATTATATTCAATTGAATAATGCTCTACTTGAAAAACAATTTTATGAATACATTGATATTAAGCCATATCTTCCAATTGATATTATGAAATGATATCAATTTATAAAAAATTTACAGCTTACATTTCCAATAGGTGTATATAGGTTGGTATGTATTTAATATATGATTTTTTTTGATAAAATTATTAACAACAATTTTATTTTTAGATATTATCAAGGCAATTATTTAAGAACTATTAATTATATTTGAAAAATTCCCAAAACTGAAGTTTTTAATGATGAACAAAATGAAACTTTAAAAGCACGTATGTTAGCCAGGATTCATGAAAAATTACCCCATTACTTTATACGACAAATGCGAAAAAATGTGTTAAATAAGGTAATAATAATGATAATGCAATTGATATTTAAATAAATAATATTCAAATAAATTTATTATAATTTTTTAGTATTCTTAAATTAAGAAAGTTTCACCAGCAATATTAAGAATGCTTTATTTTGACCTTACTGGTGATGCTGCTATAACTTCAAATGCTATTTCTTGTAAAATGAAAGAAAGATTACGATTAATGCTAATTTTGGCAAATCCTACCATTATATTTGATTTACGAATAAATAATGGATTTAATGGAACAAAATTTAATGCATTCTGGGATGAATCAGAAGCTTATTTCAATAAGTAGGTATAAAAAATGTTATTTATTGTGATTTATTATTTACAAGTTATTAATTTATAAATTTATTTATAGAATTTGCTTGCAGTAGATAAAAGGCGTCATGGAACTATTTTATATATACCATTGGCTTTATCTGTTTGTGATCTTTATGAAATTATAATAAAAAGACTAAAAATTCTTCATAATGATCCCTTTCCTTCTACTATCCATATTCCATTAGAAGAATGGATTTGTCTTCAGTTTTGTCTTACAAATGCTACAATAATACAATCAATACAACATACTGGTCGATTTAATGTAAAATTTAAAGTGCAAAGCAGGTTGCTTCGAAAAAAATAGTGATGATGCACATTATTGTGCAGCACTTTTTCGATATCTTAGAGAATTCTGTATTCAGTATCGTCAATAGACTTGTTTAATATCTGCTGATGATAAATATAAAATTCCCATTAAAGAAGATGTTGCAGTTTCTACAGGTGTATCTAAGACAGTATTTTAGCCACTACTGATCATGATTTTACTAAACTCTCTTTAATACCATCTGTTATATTTTTTATTTTAATTCCTAATTAAATTTCTGAATTATTTTATGATAGTTAAGTATTTATATCTTACAAGGATACAGTTTTTGAACAAAGCAGTGCTATCTGACATTCAACTGAATTTTAAATGCACTTAATATCTAGTATAAATACCAAATATTACCTCTAATTTTATGTCTTTATACTGATGGAGGTCCAAATCATTGATGTAACTATAGATCAGTACAAATTACATTGATTTGTCTTTTTCTTCGTGAAGATTTTGATTTGCTTACTGCAGTTCATACAGCTCCTAATCATAGTTAGACAAATTCTGCAGAGCAGATTATGAGCATTTTAAATTTAGGTCTTCAAGGTGTTGCACTTAAGTGTGATCAAATGAGTTCTGAATCTGAAACTTTATTTGAAACAGTAAATACATTAGATAATATATGAAAAAAAGCTCAAGAATTTAATGAATTAAAATCTGAATTAAAAAAAAGTATAATAAGTGTTCAAAATTTATTAAACAATAGAACAGAATGGCTTTTATTCAAAGATAAAAATTTAAATGTTACGATCTAGCAAGTAAGAAAAGCATTGTTGAATTATTTGAGGTGAAGTTTTTTTTTTATATTTTTTTTACATTTTTTCAATTTTATATTTATAAAATTCTTATTTTTATGCAGTCTATTTTGATATAGATCTAACTTTGAAAATTGAAGAAATCATACAAGCTCAAATATGTCATTACTCTATATTAGTTGAATTTATAAACACTCATTTCTGTATGTGTACCTATAGCTTTCAAGTATACATTTTAATATTTTATAATATATTAATTTTCTTATATTTTATTATTAATAATTGTTTTTATTTTTCAAGATAAAAAATGCAATAATCCTACCTGTTTATATTGTAAACCAATTTGCCTTTCATTATCTGAATTTCATAACCTAAATTTTCTTTCAGATCCAGTTCCTTCACAAGGTAATCTAATGTATTTTGTATAATTAATATCAATTGAACAATAATAAATTTTTTTTCTAAAAAAATTAGATAATATAGATCATTATGCAACTTTTCGAAATGTTTATAGAATTGAAACTACCGAAGAATATAGACCAATATATATGCAATCACAAGCAAATACAGAACCTATTCCAAAGTCCATTTTGGTTGTATCAAAAATTCAGGGTTACATTAATTGTGAAGATTGTGAAAAACGTCACTGTGTGTATAGTGAAAAATCCTTAACTCATGAAGAACAAGAAGATCATCAACAAGCATTAGAGTTATATTCGTATTCTTGTGATACACCAATTTTTCCTGATGATCATTATTTAAAGGAAGTAGTGTTTGTGCGCATCTGAATCAGTTATGATTTACCAATTGAAATATTGTATTATTCAAGTCACAAATCAGGCAATTATTTAATATGTTATTATTGTGGGAAAAGTGAAAACTTGGTAACTCCTCCTCAATCTTTAAAAGAACGCTTCAAGCAAATTTATCCTTTATGTAAAAGATGTCAGGAAAATAGAAAAACATTTTATACTAAAGAAGAGATTAAAACTAATAGACACTCTTCTAAATGTCGTAAACATAAATAATTTTTTTTAATATTAAATAATCAACAGGTTATTTAGTCTAATGCAGAATATAATAAAATGTACAGATTTTACTAAATACATATAAATAAATCATTAAATAATAAATACAATTCACATAATATAGAAAATTATATATATATATATTATTTTTAGCCCCTCTCTTATCAATTAACATATATTATATTAAACAAACAATTAACTTAATCTGGCCTAAATGTGAACTGTATTTTAAAAGAATTGATTGAAATATATCTTGATAGTATCTCATTTGGTTAATTTTTATCATAACTGAAATTTCTTGTTTCTTTGTCTTTTGGTAATAATACGATGATACACTGATCATTTTATTTGCTATTAATATAATTAAATTTATATAATTTATTAATATAAAATTTATCTTTACTTTTTTTATTCAATTTTTACTTATTGATCTTCTTCACATTTGAATTGATTAAATCCAAATCTATTGTTTTAATAATTCTAATTTCTTTTTTACTGATCTATTAAAACATTCTTGTAAACTTTTTATTTATTTTACTATATTAATATAATCTACTTAAAATAATAATAAAATTAATTGATCAATAATAATATATAATTATATTAATTCTGTTAAATTAATATAATATATTTAAAATAATAATAAAATTAATTGATTGATAATAATATATAAATCATATTATTATGATACTTTTATCAACTCGCTTTAATACTGAGCTATCTAATTTTAAGCTATCTTCTGAACTTAATTAGAAGCATTTATTTATTGTAATCAATAATTATTAATTAGTAAAAAAATAATAATTTGTTAATTTGATATATTTATTAATTTATCTTAAATTTTGTTTTTCTACTTTTTAATTATTACTTATAATTTTTTGGTCATTATAACCTAAACTATGACTTCAGCAGCAGGGAGGGCATGTAAATCATATTATTTTACCTGAAGACCTCAGAAAAGATAGTTATCAAAATTCGTAATTCAGATCCTTCCTGTTGCTAAATGAATACTTATTAATTTTACTATTCTAGGGTTTTTAAAATATAGTTCTAGTATATCAATATAATTTATATTCTTAGAATGTATCCTAGCCCCTCTCACTCAATATAATTACTAATTTGTTTTCTTGCCTTTATACACCTTTCTTATTATAATTCTGATATAATAAAAATTTACACCTAAAATATGCACCCTCAGCTCCTCTCACTCGTCAGAATTATTAATTTGTTTTCTTATTTTTGTACACCTTTCTGATTATAATCTTGATATATAAAAAAAAAATAAGATAAGTGTAAATTTTTTGAATTAGATATAAATTTTTTCAGGCTAGATATAAAAAAATCATATTAAGCTATTTCTTAAAAGTCTTGATCGAAGAAAAGGTATAAATTTTTTTGACAAAGATTAGCTTATCAAATCTTCTATCTAATAACCATAGCCCTATCTCAAAATTTATAAAAGTACACACTCATTATAACATTCTTCTTCATCTTTTTCAATTAGGATAAAACATTTCTGACAGAATGAGATATTAAGTTTTGTAAACTGATCTCTATATCTATTTATAAGTTGCTTATAAGTAAGGTGATGATTTAAATTTTCCTAAGCAATCTGATTTTTAAGTTCTTGTATCATAACTCTATAGCCCTATCTCAAAGCCTATTAATATACTGGATTACATAATAACTATTAGCATACTTTCTACAAAAGTCGAATTCAGAACTCGTCAGCTTATTACAAATCTTACAAGAAATATACTTTTTAGCTTTTCAATGTTTATAATACCCTTCAGGCTAACGGCAGGTCTGTCTACAGACCTTTTCTATTCTGAGTAAATAGTTACAAGTATATTTATCTTTCATAGTAATAAGAAATAAATATTTTATTTTAAACAAAAGTTTTCGCTATATTAATAGAAATACCATATTTAATACTTGCACAAGATGATTAACTATAAAGACATTGAATTAGCATTAGTTAAAGTAATCAAAGTAGTATATAGCTAAGGCACAAAAAATATGATAAAATGGGATTGATATATGTGGATTATTTGAAAATAATGTAATGTAAAAAGGATTCAAATGATCATTACAGATATGTAGCAAAGCAATGAACTCTAAATGAAGAAGTCTATAATAAAAGAATAGCAGATTTTAAAGACTAATATAATGAAGAAGTGTATCAGAATCTTGAAAATTATACAAATTATATTACTTATTCACAAACCAAGATGAGGTTGTGCAAAAAAGATCTATAGAAGAAGTAAACAAAATGTTTAAACTTCATGAATTAAAAATTTAATTTGTGAGCACTCATCGTGATGGTAATTTTATATCAGGAGGTATTATTTGAAGCTTCTTTTTTATAAAAGATCTTTTTAGACTATTGCCTTCATTATTTATTAGCTAGCTAATTTTTTTATATTAAAGATTCATGAATATGATAAACCTAAGAAGACTAATTGCAATCAGTTGTGCATCTTCTTTTACCTTCTAATTCACCAGAATTAAGCAAATATTTAACTAAGATATCATAGGATAATCTAAGCTCATCAAATCCAATAGGTCCTTTTTGTGACTTAGAGGTTTTAGCAAATATATGCTCTTTTTTTCAAGTTTCAGTAGAGAAAATACTTAGAAGTCAAGTTACAGAATTATTAAGCTCTATGAGAAAAATTGGAAGATCTTTTATTTAAGCTCGATAGTATTCATTAGGAGATAATCTCATTTTAATATTATCTTGAATAAAGAATGCCTACTCCTAAAGTGTATGATTAAATCTTTCAATAATACCTATAGATTCTTTAGAGTTAGTTAATTGAATTTCAATATTATGCCTATTTATTAATATGATAACATTACCTTGAAATTCAATGCCTTTATTTACCATTAAAACTTTAACTTTAAACCAGTCAATTGGACATATTTGAGATTTAAAAAGTTTTTTAAATCCTTTAATCACATTAGCAGAATTATGTTTAGTTAAAAAATATGTCCATTTAATACAGATAGCGATATTTACATAATTAAGTGCAAATTTGTAAGTTTTATTTCCAATTTGATCATAAGGCATATAACATAAATCAGCCTGAATAACTTCTATAGAAATAGTAATATTAATAAAAGATGCTTATGGAATATACTTTGGTCGAGGCTTATGAATCTGATATAAAGCCTGTTTATTTAGCTATTTTTTTATCATAGATAGAGTGAACTTATACCTGACTTTCTTACAAGCCATTTGCAATTTTTCAGCAGTTCGATAATACTCTTCAAGTCTATAATACAATTTCTGCAAAGTAAGATCCTAATCTAATTTTCGTGCTTTTGAGGATCTATATAAATCAAAGATTCTCCTATAATCATGAAAAAAAGAATGTCACTTCGCAGACCTTATCCAAGACAGAGAAAAACATAAAACTGAGCTAGAAGAGGAGAACTATCATCTTCATAATGAATTGCAGACAGAGGTGGATATTAATTATCAGAATAAGAAATGAATTAATCAATTGAAGTAAGATTATTTCTGTTGTAAATAAGAAATCCAAGAACTTAATAGAGAAATAGAATATCTTGAAAATGCTTTAAAAGAAGAGATAGTAGAGTTTAAATCTGAAATCTCCAGCTTAAAAAATCAGCTATATCAGGCTAAAAAAAATATATAAGATAAGGATAAGTATATCTTTTTCTTAGAAAGGAAATTATTAAAGTCTGAAGAGTAGGTTGAAAAATTGCAATATCAGATCAAGACTATCTTATCATAGAAAAATTCTCCAGAGCGAAGAAATTCTTCAGATTTATAATCCTAATAATAACTTAAAAATGACTACTATTACAGAATTAATAAATGCCATAGATAGTTATTTGAATAATATAACAACAGGTAGAGAAATCTTAGCTGATCAAATAAAAAGGGTGACAAGGCAGATTCAATGAAAGGAGACTAATCTTCAGCAGAATTTAGCTTGTGAATAATGGAGGCATTATGATACATAGGTTAAGCGGAATAATGAAATTATATGAAAACAAAATGCTGAAGGTGTAGAATAATTGATTATTGCTAACCTTTATTAGTTGTGAATTAATGCTTAAAATCAAGTAAACAGAATGTTGAATAATATAACAAGAAAGCAAGCCCATATTGGTGTATTGATACAGGAAAAATTTACCTTACAACTATTATATCAGCAAAATGTCTACCATTTATAGCAAAGTAGAAAAGATGTAGGTTTATTAGAGTATAATCGAGATAGGCTCTATTAGCAATATGAAAAATGGAAAAATAAGACCTGTGATGCTCAGCAAAATATTTTTAATTTGCAAGCTCAAATTTTAGCATTACATAATAATCCACTAAATTAAATAAATATGGCTTTACCTATGGGATTTGTAATGCCTAAATTAAGCAGTTTGAACAGGATCATGAAAAGTTTAGAGATGATTTTATAACGTATATTCATTTAGCAGGTCTAAATGATGAAGCAAGAATTCACAATATATTAGACTGATCAGTAAAGGGAAAAATGCGAAAGTAGTACAGAAGAGAGTTTGAAAATAAAAACTGAAAGTTACAAAATATACTTGATAACTTTGGTATAGGTGCTATTATAACTCATATTCATAATGCTAATGCAGGGATTATAATAAGGGTTATCACATTTTTTCTAAATATTCCATTAGGTCTTACAGGTGCAGATATTATTTCAGTTCGAGAACTTGATGAAGATTAGAGAATAGCTAGAGGACAACCAACCAATGTA